ACATAGTTATTTGACGGTTGAATAAAAGTGAACTGGAAAGTCTTGTTCTCTATACCTTGAATCTAAGTACAAGATCTAACAGGAAGCCAATGGAAACCAGCTGAAGAGCAACATGTTGGACAGGAGCCATGGGTTGCAGACCCACGCCTTAGGTCACAAGTTATCCCCAATATCATATACATCATATATTTTTAATCAGTTAGTGGCGTATGATGTGGAAATGTAGGAAGAAGTATGTGGGGACCCCGATCAACTATTTAAAGATGCATTAACACCTGCAGTCAGACTTCAAATGTCCTAATTCCAAATCTTGGTCCTATGTAGAGCAAAACTCTAGCTAGAAAGACCACGAGCCTGGGAGACCAACCAGTGATCTTCTTGTTTTAGAAGGACTAATTTGAAGGATTCAATTTGAACTGTAATTGATCATGGAAATGATTCACCGTTGCATACATAAAGTCTCACGTGAAATGTTCAGCCAAACAGCTGGAAACAACAACACCCATGCCCCACTGACCTCTATCAGTCAGGCGTCAGACCTCTGTGACGGCTGACTGGGCCAAATATGAAATGCGTGTGTGAGCCACTGATAAATGAAGGGAATTTTTCGTTCACAATGCGGCCACCTTGCTCTTTCCGTACCCGCAGATTGTTGACGGAAACGTTTTGCCGGGATGTAACAATATGTCCAATATCGTGTGTTTAGACAGGAAGCAGGAAAACAGGTGGTTGCCAGAAGAAACAGCGAGTTGCCAGTTTATGCAGCGGCTCGTAAGGAGGTCAGCCACGAAGGAGAAATGGAAACACATGCTGTCGTTCATCTGCCCATCACTGTGTTTAAAATTTAAATGCCCATATTGAATGAGAGTGCAGAGCCTAACAGTCTTCAGTAATGTCTAGATATAATAGAACAAATTCAACTTTGTTTGATCAGGCACGTAACATTCCCTTGGTGCGGCCTTACAAGTCATTTCATGCACTCATGTCTACTTAAACATGGCCCTGACTGCAGATGAAGGGGAATCCCGTGAGGTAACTTTTATCTTCCCCAAAGTTCTCCCGGTGGAGCACAAGACCAAAGCTCTGACTTGATGTTTCCTCCATCAGAACATCTTTTTGACAGCTGTGTATTCTGTAATCACATAATAAGCCCACATTCCATGTTACCAAAATGTCAGAGCCTGCCCTTTCAAGCCTCAGCTCAACACAACCAAATCTCACTGCTTTCCATTTAAATATGAAACAAACAGTCCAAACCAACTCCAGAGGCACTTTTTCATCATTATATAATAAGAATTGTACGGTGGAGGACTGGGAAGGTAAACAAACTTAAAAGCACTAAGATATCGATACTCAGACAGGAATCTCCGCAAGCTCCTCAAGACATTTTCACAAGTCTAAGGTTTAGAAGAGCCATAGATTTGTCACAATTAAGACAAAATATCTTCATTATTTCATTAAAAATTCAAACAACAGCTGAACAAAATTTGAAGTTATATTTGAAGTGACAACTGAACAGAGAGTATGAGGTTAGGAACTTCATGATCTCTCTATACTTCAGCAACTTAACACATTAAATTAACAACTCGGACAAGGACAACTCCCTAATACCATGAGTGGTTCCAGGATTAGGCTTGTGATTGCAGGGTTGTGTAACTTTTTTGGAGGAGCAGCTGTAACAGAAACCGTTTCCTAGCATTAATCAAGTTGTTTCCTAATTTTTACCCTACTAACAACAACAACCTGCATTATTAGCATCTTACAAAACAGCTCATTTGCGCCTCATTCTGACAGCTCTGACAGTCTTCAGCTTCCACTTATGTGTGCATTTCTGTGAAAGTCCCCTTCAGCCGCCAAACGAACAAAGGGCCGGCCACTTTGAGTCACAGCAGCATGTGGGAGTCTGCGGGGGTTGCTTTTCAATCAACCCTCTGAGCTCAGGTGAAGAGAAAGTGCACATTATGAATAAAAGTCTGCAGTTTATGAACTCCCTGCATCGGGAGGATAAAGTGCAGGATACGGAAAAAGAACCCATTTTTAGTACTTTATATGAGGCACGGGTACTTCACTGCTTCACATCCACATGTCGTCTTTCAGCCTCACCTACCTGTGGTCTATATACTTCCAGCATGTGAGTGCAGGTGTGTGTGAGAGAGAGATAAAGTGCTGCAGTGCACAATGACAGAGAAAGTATTCCAGCGTAATTGATTCTGACTTTGTCATAAATGCTTCTATGAATGGCTCTCTGCAGAGCATTAACACACTGCTGCATGACCTGGCTGTGTCAGTTACAATGAAACTCAGCCTTTTAACTTTTAACACTCACGCACATGTTGACATTTCACCTCTTAATTACATCTCACATATGTCGTGGACTGGTCTGACACCGACACTCACGCTGATAACTAGACTTTCTAAGGCAAAGAGAATTATCTTTAACTGCAGCGTTGCCACAGCTAAAGAGAATTCGAATGCACCAGAGTGAGCTGAGTAGTTTTCCTCCGTTATTTCAACTTTCCTTCAGCTTGTCACATCCACTTTTCCTCTACCCTTAGGTTTCAATATTCTCTACCATGGCCACAGACAGCGTGCTGCATCAAATTCATCTTCTCTGACAGATTTGTCCTGTTGGATGTGGGCAGAAAATCTTATACCCTTGTGCTCAGCTTCTGAGTGAGACGGCTTACAATTAGAGAGGAAAAAAAAAAAAGAAAGGCTGTGTGATGACTTCACTGCAGCTTCTGGCAAATTGCAACAACAAAAAAAAGTTGTGGTCACGAGGAAGAGAAGTTTAACCAACATCTCTGAAGGTTTAAAATGTGACTCCCAGCTTCTCTGCTTTACCTTTAATTCACACACACTCACGAACACCCACAGTGTTAACAGACCTAAATAAGCACAGACAAGTCATATACTGACTGTAGACTGACTTTTTGCAGGTTTAATTTGTTATTTCAGTCATTCATCTTCTTGCATTTAATCCGCAAGAGTAGCTGCACCTGGAGTCAACCCTAGCAAACCCACCAGTCTATCACAGGGCCACATACAGAGACCAGTGGCCAATAAACTGCTAACAATTAGCCTCATTAACCAAACAGAGAATGCACTTCAAAACTCATATTGGCACAAACCACTTTTCTACTGTGTGGCCCTTTGAGACCTTCAGCGTAAAATAATACAAATAAAAGTAAAGGAGTTCATTATTATACAACCATATTTGCATATTAATATATGTATATATAGAATATAAAATGTCTTCCTTATTTAATCTTGTTATATGTTCTTATTCTGCTCAGTTTGAAAGATGAATGAAGGAACAAAACAATTGAAACTACCACCATAAAGTCATGGGATCAAACCAGCACAGTATTGATTATTTAGTAGTGTTTCCTAAACATTTTTTTTCTGGGGACCTATATTTCAAAAGTCACAAACTTTTGCGGCCCACGTCAATAGACGTTATTCGTAAACTCGGGAAACATGATGCGAGATGATCCCAAAAACAAAAATATCTCTTGCGACCCAGTGTTTGGGAAACAATGACTTAGTAAGGCAAGAGCACTGTCAACTTTACACTTTAAAGGTTCAAAGCTGAACTTTATACTTCAGATACCTTTGGATTCCAGCATCTGCTTTACCTTCAATCCCTACAGTTCTCACAGACCAAATAAAGCCCCCCCCCCCCCACACACACACACACACACACTGGCAGGTCACTGACCCCAATCGGGGTGAAAAACATTTCGGTTTTACTGTACAATAAACGTGCCACAGCTGACTTCAACTAAACTTGCTCCTTCATTTCCCCCTCTCGTGTTTGAGGGGGAATGCCATTGCTTTAAATACTTTGTTAATACATAGGTACACATGAGAGTACTTACGCACTAGCCCAGATGGCGGACCCTCTAATTTGAAATCCAAGGGTATAATTAAGAGACAAAAAAAATTAAAAAGGAAAACATGGGTATTTGCTGCTTATACATGAAACGCGGCACAAATTACAGCAAGTACATGCTGGGTCGGTGTGGTCATCTATTAGATATTCACGTTTCGGGACAATGTTCTCCGCAGGGACAGCTGGGAAATGAGCTCTGGATGTAACTTTGAAGTCTCGCACAGACACACACTGACACATCCGTGCGTAATCGTTCGATCTGGATGGAAAATTAAACTGGATGATATCAGATGATTGAGCTGGGAGTTTCGGCTGTGTTTCAGGGGATTGACGGAGGCCACGGAGACAACAGGCCACTAAAGCTGGAGAGAATGTGAGGATGAAACATCAAGTTTCTAAAGAAAAAAAAAACGTGTTGAAAACTCGGGTTTTTCGTAAGGTGATACAGAACAGAAACACGGACCAGGGCTGGCAGCGCTGCACGCGTTTACGAGCCGTGCGTAAAAGCTTCTGTTTTCGATTAAAATCTCATCCTTCTCTGTGACCGCTCTCAATGTGACTTTGAGGACATCGAGCCAAACACTCACTCTGATTTGTAACCTTCCATCCCGATGTATATCGTCTCATAACATCAACTTTGTTAAGACTGCCAGTCGGTTATCTTTGGACACGCTGCTTGGATCGTATGTGTTTACACAGTAGGCGTGTGGAGGTAAGAGAAGTATCTGATCGGACCAGTCTCTCTGCTCATTAACTCACTCAATTATAGTCGAAACACAACACCTCCCCTGGCTTTTCTGCTTTGGACTCACTCCGAAAACTCGCAAACTCGAGGCAGCGTGTAAGTTTGGAGGAAGAAGAGAAAAAAGATCACGCGTAGTAAGACTTGAACCAAGACCGTGAACTATGAACAGAGACTCCCACGGGACTGAAATCGTTCAAAACAAACCAAAATACGTCAGAGCAGAGTTCGTGTGAGTTTGTGTAATTCAGCTAATGTGGTTTAAAAGGCTGGAAGTTGACTTTGGAGACGCTTCCCACCACGCGCATTCGACCTCGGAACGCATTCCCGGAGGAAAAGACGGAGCAGAAAAGTTTTCCTTACCAGTGTCGAAATGACTCAGGGCTGCAGAAGAAATAAAGCCAATGAGAAGGAAAGAAGCGGCGACTGTCCAGGAATCCATGGTGTGTTTAGAGAGTGGAGTGAGCCTCAGGTGAAGCGCAGTCTGACGGACGGATGCGCAGACCGGCGGAGTAAAGAGCCGGACTCTCTCTGACTCTCTCTGACTCAGAGACTGTCCGGGTCTGCGCAGCAGAGACTTGTTGGCCCACGTTATAAAAAGTCCCTCAACTTCAAAACAGGTCTCCACTGCCACTGCTAGACTGACACTCCAAAGACACGACCAGATAGTAGAAAGCAGGGATCCTGTTTCCGACCCATGTGACAGGAAATAGGGGCAATAGAATCAACCTGCAGCGCTGGTGAAGCAGCCGAAAGAACAGAGGGAGGGATGGAAGGGAGGGAGGGAGGGAGGCAGTGTTGGGGATGAAGGGGGAGGACTCTGCTGGTGCAATGAACAGCAGGTTAACAAAGGACAAAGTGACTTTGGTTTTCTAAAAAAAGACACAATATGTAGAGATTTACTAAAGAGACATACACATACAAAATTAGAATTAATTAATCCACTTTTTTTTCAAAGTTTAAGGCATATCTCCTCTAGGGGGCGTCAGATTACTTTTGAGGAAAGTACACCAGAAGAAAAGAAGGACAGGTGCCAGACAACATACTGTAAACTAGCTAATCATTTGTCTTTTTGCGCTTTTTAAAATACTCCAACGAGTAACAATTTCATCTTCGCTATCAAAAATGATTTCTGATACAAACTCTACTTCTGACTTTTACAGTTACAATGAAAGTAACCGACCAGAAAAACAAACATTGATCATGATGGGTCACATAGTACAAGGAGACAATAGTCAACCATAAATTACAACATGAGCAGCGAGCCGGGGTTGCAGTAGAGGATTTGTAATGTTGAGGTCTAAAACTGATTAAGGATTCACTATTAGACAGTGTCATACATATATATACAACATCTATTCACTGCATACACAGGTCACTCAAATAACCTCAGCCGTGCATCATTTTAACAGCCTGGGTGTTCTAAAGGGAGAGAGAGAAGGGCGAGCGACGACAGTTGTGTATCTGAACACACCAGAGATTTAGACTGAATTAGGATAAGGACGACAGGGAAGTGCTTTTCACACAGTGATAAGAAGAAAAACAAAATGAGTTTTGAAGTTTTGGCTGTGATCATTGAAAATCTCATCTTGAAGTAATATAATAAAAAATAAATGAACAAGCTCATGAAGAAGAAGATTTATTTGCATATGAAGTGTATTTCTAAGTGATATTGTCATCCAGTCAGTGCAGGACCAGTCGAAACACAAACACCAGTGAGGGACATCACCTAACAAAATTTTCCAAATAAAAATCTTGATTTGCTTAATTGTATTTCAATAAAAAATATTTTCTGAAATTTTCGGAAGTTTTTTTTTTTTTTTTTTTTTTTTTTTGCTTTTAGGATGGCTTGCCCTTTACAATAGTTCCAATGTCACTTAACTACACATTTACCATACAGGATTTGTTGATCCACTGTTGTCTCTATGACAAAATGTGTTTTGAGTTTTGTTTTTTTTTTGTCACTGGTGTGTTGTGTTTGGATTTTTCAAAATGAGGAAACATGTCCAGCATCTGGACAATAAAACCTCAGTTCTCTCTTACGTACTTTAGGGGTGATGATACAAAGATGTACAAATGTTGAACCAATTGTTGAGATGAGTCCATTCTGGAATCTTTGCTTAGGGCTGCTCTCACTAAATATTTCCTTTTTAACCCACGTCAATAAGTTAGTCAATAAGTAAACAGGTTATTCTATGACTTTTCCTAACTGGCTGCTCTTCATTCAACTCTTCTTGTTTTGATCACAGCACAACAAAACAGGTGCAACACCTTCAGACCACTGCTTCTCACCTTTACAACCTCTTCCACCCTAGGTCGTCCTTGGTGTGAAACAGTGCCCTCTGGTGTTTCACTGTACGCACAGTGCAGCACAGTGAAGACGAGTCCAGGCCAAGAGCACACCGGCCTAAAAATACAGAATCCAGTATGATCTCACCACCACTCTCTGAGAGGAAAGGCCCCGGGTTTGTTTTGCCAAAACTGACTGGGTTGAGATGGGGTGCACTGGGAAAGCAATCAAAAGTCATCGAGCATGACGTGTGTCCTCTGGACAAACGTAACTGTGGCCTTGAGTTACTGGCTGGTAAAACCTTCACTTACAGTGTATTACAGGGAAAAACTGAGAAGGTCTGAGAGGAAGGGAATCATTACAGTTTATCAATAGTGACAGTTTCCTACGACTCTGAGGTGGAGCCTTCTCCAACTGTGTGTGACAGCTGGTTTGGGTAGGAAGCTGCCCTGTGGCCATTGACATGGATTAACATCCAGTGAGTGAGAAACATTTATTTATGATTTCATTTTCCTAAGAGCAATTCTGAGAAGCTTTACTACAAGTTTTACACAAAAAAGGGCGAAAAAGCCTGTAATTTCTTATATGTTGCTTTGTTGATTCAATTAATTAAAACATTGTATACTATAGATTTTTTTTATTGTATTATTTTCAATAGCCAGATAGGAGGACAGTGGGAAAACAGAAACATTCATACAAAAAGAGCTGAGTGTAACTGATATGATTTATGGTTTAGACCGGTGTTTCCCAAACTTTTTTTTGGGGGACCCATATTTTAAAAGTCACAAACTTTCGTGACCCAAGTCATGGGAAACATGATGTGAGATGACCCCCAAAAGAAACTCTTGTGACTCACCTGAGGGTCGCGACCCAGTCTTTGAGAAACAAGGGTTTAGACCACAGTACTTAAATACAAATTATTAAGGTCCACAAAGACTTTCAACAAGTCAGAGGTCGTGTTGGTGCAACATGGTCGCGCACATGCACCCGACGTTTTATTAATGAATGTCTATGCCATAATGCTGTCATTTTTACAACATTGTAATGTTATAATAGTAAATATTCTGTATATACTGTGTATATTACATGCGGCTCTTACATTCATGTCAAATTTTATGTTTGTGGGGTTTTTTATGCAATTTGAATCTCATTCCGATGGGCGTTGACACATTATTTCTTACTTCAATCTGCACAGAAGAAAAGATGTATAGAGCAAGTTTTAAGCGGGTTTGAGTTTTATTTTTTTATTTTTTAAAGGTAAAAGCTGTTATTTAATTTTTTTTATGCATTTAGCAGATGCTTTTATCCAAAGCGACTTATAAGAGGAGGATTAACAATCGAGCATGAGGTTGCTCTGGGAATCAAACCCAGGACTCTCTGCTTCCGAGGCAGACATGCAAACCGCTACAAACAGATACGCTCCTCCACTTATGTCAGTCAGCAAAGTTTGCTAAACATACCGATTTCAAAGGCTAAATCAACACATGCTTCAACCAAAACATAACAGCATCCTTTCAGGTGCTTCGAGAGCCAAATGCTGACTGCAGCCCACCACTTGAGGACCAAGTCTGTTCAGAAACAGTGGCTTTCTCAGGAGGCTGCGTGCTGTTGTTAAGACAATGTCTCCAAATACTGTACATTGAAGCAGATCTCACTGCTGTCTATGCTATTTTTAGACTAGTTCAGACCAAGTTCTAGAGCAAAGCGTAACATAAAAGTGACTGTTACGTCTGACAGGTAAGATATTGAATAGCCTATTATCCCACCTATAATATAGCATAACCATGTGGTCTTGATAATAAACCTGGACCCGTCGTCTTTGTCTCTATACAGCACACAAGTGTGAGTGTGTGTACAGTATGTGTGATGGCACGTTGGGCTTGTCCGTACATGCTGCCTGGTCACATTCCTTGTGGTCTGCTGGAGTTATTGTAATTCACTTCTGTCTTTTTTTTTCTCTTTCAAAAAAACAAAAAAACTTGGCACTAACACACAACACAGTCACACTTTGAACTTTGGCCAGTGCTTCACTGCACCTCCGCTGTTGATAGTTTATTTTTTCAAGCATTATCTCAAACAGAACCTTCTTGTGTCTGCACGGGTGAGTACATTGATAACTGACACACTCCATGTGCCCTGATTGTTGTGTTTTGCAGAACAGAAGGCAGAGGTCACTGCGAAATAATAATCTAACGATGTGTCATGTAAGGATATATAGGAGTCTAGCAACCCTGACCTTCCAGTGAATGAGAAGTTATGCATGGCTGAACTGGATGTTGGGTCACAGACTTTGGATTCTGAATTCAAGGGGCCAGACTGTGACATGTCCTTGTTCCCTCTTCAGTAAACATGAGTGTCTGGCTCTGAATCTTAATGCCCCATTTCTCTCCTTTGTGGTCAAATCAAGGCTTTTGTTCCTGGCATGCAAGCATGCTTACAAGAACACAGTACTGTCGTGAGGCATTCTTTTTTTTTCTGTGGAATTTTTAAAAATGTTCTGTCCATTTTTTAAATAACCTGCAATTCAATACATATTCATAGTGAGAAGATAAAGATAATAATAATAATAACAACAATAATTCTGATTGGGTCAAAAAGGGAGCGTCTATCAGAAAGGAGCACAAAGTTCTTCATTGGTACATGTTTTTAAAAAAACAAGTAAAATGTTAGAAAATAAAAACCATTCTTGTCATTTAGCCTAACAAAGAAAGCTTCAGCTGCAGAGAGAAATGACAGATTTCAGTTTTATAACATTTTTATTGCATTAGGAAGTCTGACGACTTTTGCTGAAATGGGGTTTATATTGATTAAAGAGTGTTAAAAACAAACACCATTCAATTCTCTTAACGACGCTTAGAGGGCAGCAGTGGTATCAGGAACAGAAATCTTTAAATCCGAGTACATAAAAACCAATCTGCTGATCCACATTTTTAAAACGATCACGTAGCAGGGACCCACACTAATGATGCAACATTTAAAGGGAGAAGAGTGTTTGGTATTTAATAGTTATCTGTGAAGTGGACTGGAAAGAAATTACAACTGTTTTGATCATCAATAATGTCAAAGAATATTATGACGGTGATGAGTATTTACGTAACGTAGACATATAGAAATGAAACTCTTTGACCTCCTAGAGATAATTTAAACTTCAGGTGATTATGATTGACTTGTAAAATCTAATCTTATCCATTCAATTTTTATAATTAATTTTGGATCTGGATCCAAACCCAGCACAGTTCACCGGTCCATCACAGACTACGACCATGTACAGTCTGGACCATTAACCTAATCCTGCATGTTTCTTTTAATGTGGGAGGAAACTGGAGTACGGAACCACCAGAACTCCAATCAAACACTCCTTCATTATTTGGCCTGTAAAATCATCGGCATAAAATACCTTCACCGAAATCCTATACAGTGCACATTCACGAAAGGATTGGAGAAAATAAGTCTCCCTTAATGC